CCTGTAATCCCAGCACTTTGGAGGCTGAGGCAGGTGGATCACTTGAGCTCAAGAGTTCAAGACCAGCCTGGGCAACGTGGCAAAAACCATCTCTACCAAAAAAAAAAAAAAAAAAAAAAACAGCCAGGCATGGTGGCGGGCACCTGTGGTCCCAGCTATTCTGGTGGTTGAGGTGGGAGGATCGCTTGAGCCTGGGAGTTGGACTGTAATTGCACCATTGCACTCCATCTTGGGAGACGGAGCGAGACCCTGTCCTGCCCTCACCCCCCCCAAAAAAAAATTAAAGTAAAAAAGGTACAATGTGGTGGCGCATTGCCTGTAGTCCCGGCTACTCCTGGAGGCTGAGGCAGGAGGATCGCTTGAGCCTGGGAGGTCAAGGTTGCAGCCTGGGAGACAGAGCAAAACCCTGTCTCTAAAAAATAAGATACCCTATGGCTCTCCCCACAACTGCTCATTCTCTGACATTTTTTTTTTTTTTTTTTTTTGAGACAGAGTTTCACTCTTGTTACCCAGGCTGGAGTGCAATGGCGCGATCTCGGCTCACTGCAACCTCTGCCTCCTAGGTTCAGGCAATTCTCCTGCCTCAGCCTCCTGAGTAGCTGGGATTACAGGCACGCACCACCATGCCCAGCTAATTTTTTGTAGTTTTAGTAGAGACGGGGTTTCACCGTGTTGACCAGGATGGTCTCGATCTCTTGACCTCGTGATCCACCCGCCTTGGCCTCCCAAAGTGCTGGGATTACAGGCGTGAGCCATCGCGCCCGGCCCTTTTTTTTTTTTTTTTCTAACGGAGTCTCACATTTCGCTCTGTCGCCCAGGCTGGAGTGCAATGGCGTGATCTCTGCTCAGTGCAACCTCTGCCTTCTGGTTCAAGTGATTCTCCTACCTCAGGCTCCCGAGTAGCTGGGACTACAGGAGCATCACCACGCCCAGATGATTTTTTATATTTTTAATAGAGACGGGGTTTCATCGTATTAGCCAGGATGGTCTTGAAATCCTGACCTCTTTTTTTTTTTTTTTTTAAACTGTAACTCTGAGGCATTTTATTATAAAAAGTTAGTACTCATATACATAAAGTAATATGTACTTAAAATTCATGATACATTTACTTCATTTTTTAGCTTGACCTAGTAGATCTTTAGCTTCATTGATTTTGGCTGCTATATAAGGAGATGCTCCTTTGTCAGGATGATTTAAAAGCATAATTCGTCGTTGAGCATCTCTTATTTTCCCTTTATTGGCAGTAGGGCTTACACCTAGTATTAATGCTGCTTCCCGTTTTGTCATTTTGGGTTCAAACCCACCTCTGTAATAGCCACCACTGAAGGCAGATTTTGGTAGACTTTGAAAAACTTGCTTTACTTGAGGCTCCATATGCTTCATGGCTTGCAAAACATAACGGCCTGCAAATCCTGCAGCTGCAATGGTCAGTCCAACTGCTACCATTGTACTGGCCATGGCTGCTGCGGCTGGGTTCCCTCGCTTCCACCGGGAGCCCGGCTCATCCCAGCGCAGAGACCGCGGCCGACGCCCGCACGCCCGGAGCAGAGCGACGCACCTCAATCCTGACCTCTTGATTTGCCCGCCCGCCTCATTCCCTGATGTCTCAATGCTCCCACTGTCCCGCTGAAGACCGGCTGCTTTCCTTTCGATTTTGGTGAGTCCTCCCTTCTGGCCCGTGCTCCTCACCGGCCCGCGTGGTACCTGGCCTCTCCCCTCCCGCCGCTTCACCACCGCCCGCCGCCTGTTCCGCACGCGCATGTTGGCACCAAGCGGTTTGTTCTCGAATTCCATCTCCACCGGAACAGGTCTGAAACCGCCCTGTACCTTGGCTTCCTCAGTTAAGCGATGGCAGTAGCCTTCTCGAGAGGGAGGTAAGGTCAGAAGACTGCAAGTGAGAAGTGCTAAGTGCACAGTGGGCGCGAGCTGTATTCTGAGCTTGGTTACTACTTGGAGGTGAGGGAAAGGCGCCCGAGAGAGGGGGACAGTGCGTGGCGAGACGTCCTAGGTCAGGAACTGCCGGGCCCAGAGTCCAGAAAACAGCTCCCGGCCGAGGAGCGTCCGCAGGGATGCTCGGTGTTGGGTCCCGTCCGTCCTTCACCACTGCACGCCGCCGGCGACCCTCTGCGCCTGCGTCCTCCTGCCCGCAGATTCCGCCGGAGGGCTTGTACGGACGCACCGGGAAAGAACGGAACTGCCGGGGCACAGAGTGCTCTGAGCCGCCTAGAGCGGACTCATGAAACCTGTGCTTTGATTGACTGGTGAGCTGAGGGGCAGGGCGGAAGTTCAGATTAGGCATTTCCGATCCATTGGGTTTAGGTTTTTGCGGCGCGGGATTTAGCGTTTTTGCTCCTTCCCTTCGCGCGTTGGAGCTGAGTGAGTCCCGGGAGAGGGCGCCTGGTGCGGGCAGAGACGGTGCCGGGGCTCAGGGGCTGAAGGACGCACCCCGCGGCTTCAGTGACCCGGGGAGGACGCGCCGAGGGCGGCCGCGGAGTGTTGAGCGCCCGCTTTGTGTTGACCGAGGGGCGGGCAGGGCGAGGGTGGCGTGAGGCACCCGCGGAGGCGGCGGAGTGTGCAGGTCCGCGGGCTGTGGTCCACCATCCCGAGCAACACTGAGGCAAGGAAGCCAGATGGATAAAAAGGGCCTCACGGAGGAAGAGAGTTTGGAAATGTCAGAGGATGAGCTGAATTGTGCTTTTTATTTTCCAGAAGAGAGAAAAGTGCATTTCATTTAGCGAGAATGGATTAAGGGAAAGGGTAGAGCTGTGGGAGAGCTGTGGTGTGACGGAGCCTGTGTTGAGGGGGAAGGAGAGGGAACAGGCAGGAGATGATGCTGGAACAAGCCCAACACTCAGTTATTGAGCAGGCACTTGGTAAATGCCGACTTACTGATTAAGACAATTAAGACTTAGTATCGTTTGCAGTTTGCTAATACTGTGTTGAGCACTTTATACATATTCTCATTTAACTCTCAGAATAGTCACTTAAGGTGAGTAGTGTCAGTTTTATTTTACGGTCTGTGGAAAAACTCAAGTCACTTACCTGACACCTCTGCATTATTAAGTGGTGGATCCAAGGTTAGAGCTCAGTCTTATTCGAGTCCAGAGCCCATGTGCCTAACAGCGGTGCTACCTGAGTCTAGGAGTGAAGGCAGAGTACATAAAGGTACACTCGTGATTCACGAAGGGCATAAGCATCAGGGGCCAGTCGAAAGCAATCCATGTCTGAGGACTGGAAGGCTGCCTCTGGCCAAGGTGTGCCTCAGCTGGAGACTATGAAGACATCAATAAGCTTAGGTTCAGCGCCGAGTCAGAAAATCTGGCCAACAGAGGCTTAAATGATGAAGATGAGACAGACAGCGTTTGTTCCAGAGTTTGTTATGAAATGCCAGGGCTCTAGAATGTGTCTCCAAGGTTCTCTTAGCTTTCCTTTGCGGTCACTCCAGACAGGGGTGTTTCCCCTTACTTCCTTTCAGATGCCTCTTGGCAAACTTCCCTTAACATCTTGGTGACGAGAACTGGGCCTTGTGGTCACCAGGGCTGAGGGAAAAGGGCACATTTCCTCCTGAACTAAACTAAGGAATTTGTTTATCTGCAGAGGGCTGTGGGGAGGTTTATGCAAAGGACAAATGGGAAGGCTTTTCTGAGAGTGACATATGTCAGTTCTAAAATAAAACCAGATCTGATTTAGATGTCCGCAGTGTACTGACAGTTTTCAGTATGTACCCAGCCAGCCCAACCTCTCTCCGGAATTTTCAACTTGTATTTCCAAATGCCCTAATTTTCCATTTATGAATGTAATAGGTATCTTAAACATTACATATACAAGACAGCTTTTATATTTAATACTTCTGCAGTCTTACTCTTTTGAGCATATGGAAATTTTATCATTTCAGTTGCTCAGGCCAAAAATCTTGGTGTCTCATCCTACATGAAATTCCTAGGCAAATCTTATTGATTGTACCTTTGAAATGTATCCATAATCTGACTGCTTTTTGTCACTTCTGCCACCACCAGTCTGGTCCAAGACATTCATCTCTAGCTGGATTGTTGCTAGAACCTTCTGACTGGTTTCCTGTTTTTGTTCCTCACCCCCACCCCATAGTCTGTTCAAAGCACCCTTGAAGTAGCAACTGTAGAGATCACATCTGAGGCCGGAGCACTGTACCCAGACCTTCCAGGCACTTCCCATCCATTCAGAATAAAAGCCATACATAGCCCTATGGCATACAAGGTACCCACCCCAGAGGGTATCCACCCCTTTCACCCTCCCCTACTGTTTCAGCCCCCCTGGCTTCCTTGCCCTTCCTTGAACACATCAGGTGTGCTTGCACCTCAGAACCTTTGCACTTAGGCTTCCTCTGCCTGGGAGTTCCCTCCCTGATATCCACATGGTGCCTGCCCTCATTCCACCCAGATCTCTGATTTGTTGTTACTTTATCAGAGGTGTTTTCCCTGGCCACCCTCTGTAAAATATCTTCTACTACCAGTTGCTACCTTCATGCTGCTTCATTCATTCTTTGTATCCTCTCTTGTCACCTGACACCACCTGGGCATTGTGTTTGTGGGTCACACATATGTGTCGACTTCTCTGTTCATTCACTGCCTCAGCGCAAGAGCCTGGTCTGCTGTTCTCAGCTGTTTGCTCTCTGCCCAGGACCTTGTATGTGGACCTGGGAAATGCAGTCCATTGTCTCTCCTGGTCAAGTCCACTGCCAGCGTCCTGGCTTTCGCATGGTGGCCTCGGGATGCTGTCATACCAGGGGCCTCAGAAAGGCCTCTCTTGAGACATCGAGAGGCATGGCAGGGAAGTGGGGAGGGGATATGGTCTCAGAGGCCACTGGCTGCTTAGTTCATCCACCTTTCCTGGGGTGTTCAGGCAACTCACAATTGGGTCTCTGCTACCACAGAACGTCTGGGCGTAGAAGTCTCAGAGCAGCTGTGGGGAGCAGAAGGCTGTTCAGGCTCCATCACACTCGTCTCCCTGTGGCTCTGCCCACCACCTCAGGACAAGCTCAGAGACCTAGTGATAGCTGTCAAACAGCTCCTTCCTGGTGGGCGCCAGGTGAATGGTACTCATGGAGACTCTTCCATGTGACCTCAGCGTTTTCTCTACAGGAGTCTCTCTATGAGGGGCTAGTCCCAGAGGGCAGACAGCTCCCTGTCTCCACCAATGTCCTCAGTTACTGAATTGAAGTCCCTGAAACATGCTTCTCACTGTGTTTTCCTGTCCCTGGACCAGGTACAGTAGAGGTCAGGATTGGGGCACACCAAGATGAGCCAATATAGTGTCTGCCTTAAAGAGCTAACTTTAGTGAGGAAGACAGGTACATGTTCCCAGAGGGATTTTACCAGTCCTGAGCCTAATGCCTTCTCCCTCCAGATCCTGACCTCAGGGCTGCGGCAAGATCTTGTCATTCCACATCATGGTTTCCTTTGAGGACGTGGCCGTGCTCCTCTCCCAGGAGGAGTGGGACTGTCTGATCCCTGCTCAGAGGGGCCTCTACAGGGATGTGATGCTGGAGACCTATGGGAACCTAGTGTCACTAGGTAAGTTCCCTCCCTGGGGCTCAGCTTCTGGGCTTCCTGCTCAAACAACCTTGAGGCTCAAGCTTGGGGCTCAAAGGCTCCTCATTCCCTGCGCCCAAAGACCAGACATCTTGACCCTGGTACCATGCAGGTCTGGTCTGCACAGAGAAGAGGCCATGTGGTACTGGGACTCTCCCTGATTTGTTTTTGTTTTTGATAAGCAGTGTCTCACTCTGTTGCCCATCCTGGAGTGCAGTGGCGGGATCATAGCTCACTGTAACCTTGACATCTGTGGTTGAAGAGATCCTCCCACCTCAGCCTCTCAAGTACCTGGGACGACAGTAGTGGGCCACCATGCCTGTCTTATTTTATTTTTTAAAGACAGAGTCTCTCTATGTTTCCCAGGTTGATCTCAACTCTAATCCTCCCACCTTGGCCTCCCAAAGTTTTGGAATTCCAGGCATGAGATAGTCAACTCTCCCTTATTTATGGAGGGAGAATATTATTCACTGTACACCTACTACATTTCTATCCTCTTGCATAAAGATAAATGCATTAAATGTTAATAGAAATTATAACGTAAATTAATTATAATTTATAATTATATATATTTATAATTTGTAAATTAATTATAAATTAAATTAATCTTTATGCATCTTGAAGGTTGGTGGTAGGATACACAGTTTATAAATGAATGTGAGGCTAACAAATGCTGTCACTTTCTTATGTTTACACAGCCTTTTGGTGGCAGATCTGGGATTTGGATCTGTTCAGTTTCAGAGCCCTGCTTTCCTTTCACTGGAATGTGCTCTTCCCTTTAGCCTTTCTGCTGGGCATCAACACCTCCTACTGTGAGTCCTCTCCCATGATGTGTTCAGGCCCCAGCTCTGTCCTGTCTATGCCCCTCGTCCCCCCGAAAAGCTGGTTTTGACCTTTTTTCAGCCCAGGCAGAGGCCTGTGTCTTTCTCCACGGTTAAAGACCAGGTAGCAGGGAGGGTCACAACCAGCACACAGACTTGGAATGCAGGTACATCTTGCCCTCTACCTGGGATGAATTTTCAGGTCTTGTTTCCCTTCTCTTGAGCAGGACTTCAAGCTTCCAAACCTGATGTCATCTCTAGGCTGGAGCAGGGGGACGAACCATGGACCACACACACCCTGAGAATGCAGGGGAGCTGGAGCTGGAGGCACAAGAGAGAAGGTGAGTCTGCCCCCACTCTCTGCTTCTGTGATAGGTGAGTAATCACAAATCCCTTCTTTGCAAGCTCCAGACAAATTTCTTGTTATCCTCAGGCCTTTGCTTTCCTCCGGTTTTTTTCTATCAAAATTTTCCTCTTTTCTTGCTGTTACTTGCCTCTGTTATCTGTCCATCAGTAGGTTTGTGTTTTATTTACCCTAGAAAATGTTCTTTCAGCCATAAAAAAGAGCTCAGGTGTCCTTCCCTGGCAGCTGTCTCCCAGTCCCTTCATTTCCATGTCACCCACTCCTTAGGCTGTTTGGGAAAAACGCCAACTACATTTTTCCTCTTCTCTGACACCACAACAACAATCAACAAAGATTTCATGACCAAATGTATGGAGAGTTTTTCCCACGCACTAAGCAGCTGTAATTCAATTCAATTCTGGTGCTCTCTTCTTGGAGATAGACTCAAATTCCAGAGGCTGAGGGCTCAGTCTCTGAGACTCCCCTCAAGACACTAGTTATAAGTCCGGGCTTTCCAAACTTCTGACCAACTGGATTCAAGTTGGGGTTCCCATGACCCTCACTTTGGGTTCTGTTAATTTCCCGGAGCAGCTCACAAAACTCAGAGAGACACTTAGATTTACCAGTTTAGGCTGGGTGTGGTGGCTCATCCTTGTAATCCCAGCACTTTGGGAGGCCAAGGTAGGCAGATCACTTGAGGTCAGGAGTTTGAGACCAGCCTGGCCAATATGGTGAAACCCCATCTCTACTATAAAATACAAAAATTAGCCAGGCATGGTGGTGTGCAGCTGTAGTCCTAGCTACTTGGAAGGATGAGGCATGAGAATCATTTGAACACAGGAGGCAGAGGTTGCAATGAGCTAAGATCACGCCACTGCTCTCCAGCCTGGGTGACAGAGTGAGACCATGTCTCAGAAAAAACATTTACTAATTTATTATAAAGGATAAAGACAAAGAAATGTGTAGGCTGAGGTATGGGGGAAGGGGTGTGGCGCTTTCATGCCCTCACTGGGTGCATCACCCTCTAGAAACCTATGCACTTAGCTATCAGCTCTCTGAACCCTGTACTCTTAGGTTTCTATAGAGGCCTTATGATGTTGGTATGATTGATTAAACCATTGGTCATGGTGATCAACTTAATCTTCAGCTCTGGTCCCCTTCTCTGAGTTTGGGATGTTGGGGCTGAGAATCCCAACCCTCTAATCATGACTTGGTCTTTCCAGTGACCAGCTTCATCCTAAAACTGTCAGTCAACATAAGCCTATGAAAAGACAGCAGTTTGGAGGTTACAAGGATTTTAGGAGTTGTATGCCAGGACACGGGGATGAAGACCAAGTATATATTTTATAATATCCCACAGGGCTTGCTGGCCAGCTCTGCTATTGCTGCTCGGAGATACCGGTTGGAGAGATGTTCTCTTCCAAGTTTCTCATTCCTGCTGTTATTCACTCAGAGCATCCCAGGCTGATTCTGGGTCTTGGGGAAACAGATGAATTAGAAAGGGTTTCTTCCTGTGTAGTGGGAGACCTGGGCATGTAAACACTAAGCAGAGCAGAGTCCTGGTGCTTCGTGCTGCCACACAGCTAATGTTGGTCATTTGTGCTTGATGCAGGCCTGGCACTGTGCTGTCACAATGAATTTATGAAATTTGCCAATATCTCTGCATAATTGGTGCCCAGGAAATTGAGGCACAGAGAGGTTAAATTCACACAGCCGGCAAGGAACAGAACAGGGTTGGGTCCCTGGCAGATTGGTCTCAGCCCCATATTTTTATCTATCTTCTTTAAAGAAATAACTTTATTGAGGTGTAATTAACATATAATATGTTAACAAAAAGTATATGATTTTATATCTTCTGACATATGTATACATATGTGAAACCATTGCCACATTCTAGAGCAAACATATCCATCACCCCCAAAAGTTTTCTCTTTCTTTGTAATCTTTTACTCCTTCCCACCTTTCTCACTCCTTCCCACTTCTATCTTGAAGCAATTACTGATTTGCTTTCTGTCACTATAAATTATATTTTCTAGAGTTTTATGTGAATGGAATCATTGGGCATGTATTCTTTTTTGGTCTGGCTTCTTATACTCAACATAATTGTTTTGAGATATGTTTATGTTGTATATCAATAATTCATTGCTTTTTATATCTGAATAATCTATTGTTTGAATATACTATAATTTGTTTATTCATATTCTGTTAACAGACATTTGAGTTGTTTTTGTTTTTTGGTTAACACACATTAAGCTGCTGTGAACATTGCCTTCCACTTATCTTGTACCTCCCTAAGATGTTGTGAGTTGTCAAGAATGGTTACTATTCTTGCCCTTGACCCCCAGGTGCAGTCATTTGTCCAGCATTAAGGCCAGGATTGGTTGCTTACCAGGGCTGCTGAATAGCTATCTTCCTGGCACTTCCCATTCTTACTCTCTTACATTGGAATCACCATCTATTGAATTCCCTATCTAGATATATATTTATTCATTTATTCCTTGTTTTGCTGAAGTACACGGTCAAACATTGAGCCCTTTTGTGTCTGAATATGGCTTTATTCTACCTCATGTTTCTGAGTCCTTAAGTATGAAATGTTTTATAAACTTCACATAAATTGAATTATTTTATTCAGTCTGACATTCATTTTTTTTAGTGTGTGTACAGTAAAGGGTTAACTAGCAGGCCTGCACTGCCCACATCCTGCATATTCCAGAGGTCTTTAGGACTAGCTCCTTGACCAGCTCCTTGGAGGTACTCGCTAAGCTGTTGGAACATTCTGCCTGATAACAGTGTTTGAGTATACCTGGGGACTTGGGTTTATGCTAACAATGTGATTTAAAGTGAATGCTTATTTCTGTTTGCCTGGGTCCCTGGGCCACAGTGTATCAGATTGACCCCTGAGGGGAGCTGTCAGGGTACCTGAGTGCCCCAAGTCTATGTACTAACCATTAATAAAAACCCTGGATACTAAAGCTCAGGTGAACTTCCTGGTCATCAACACTTTGCATATGTTGTCACAAATGGTGGCTGGAAGAATTAAGGTCTGTCCAGGTGGCCATACTGGAAGAGGATACCTGGAAGTTCACACATGGTCTCTCTTGGACCCTGTGTGGCATTTTCCTTTGCTGATTTGTAATTGTTTCCTTTTGTCCTAATAAATCATGTAATTATGAGTATAAGAGCTTTTCTGAGTTCTGTGAGTCCTTCTAGTAAATAATTGAACGTGAGGGTGGATTTGGGTACTCTTCACAGAGTGCTTTGTCTGTTTAAATGTAACACAATTATTGATAAAGTTGAGACTAAGTCTGCCATCTTGCTATTTTCTGTGTGTCTCATCTATTTCTTCTTTTTTTGTATACTTCTTATATTCTTTTGAATAAATCAAACTTTATATGTAATTTTTGTTTCTTCTCCATTAGCTTTTTAGTTGTACATTCTTTTTTAAATGATTACTCTAACGATTAAATATGTCTCTTTGATTTACTGTGGTCTACCTTAATATTTTTACCACTTCTTGAAAAATGTAAGATCCTTACAATTCCTTTTGTCCCTCTCCTGCCTTTCATTATTATTGTCACTTATTTTGTGCTTCCTACTTTGAAACCTCACTAGAGAGTTTATTCTATTGCTGTTTGTGACAATAAATATTCATTTAGATTTACTCTTTCTAGTGTTTTTCACTCCTTTCTGCAATTCTGTACTTCTATCTAAGATCATTCTTTTCAGTTTGAAAAACTTAACCTTTATTATTTCTTGTACTTAATTTGGCATTATTCTCTGAGCTTTTGTTGGTCTGAAAATGTCTTTATTTTCCTTTCTGATTTTTTCTCCTTTATTCTATGGATACGGTGTATTAATTGATTTTTGGACGCTAAACAAACCTTGCATTTCTGGGATAAATTCCACTCAGTAATGGTGTATAATTTTTTTTATATATAGTGCTATTTGATTTGCTAGTACTTTGTTGGGGAATTTTGTGTCTGTATTCATCAGAGATGCTGATCTGTTGTTTTGTCTGTTTTTGGTATCAGGGTAATACTGTTTTCATTGAATAAATTGGGAAGTGTTCTTGCTTGTTTTTTTGGAAGATTTTGTGAAGAATTGCTTTTAAGCCTTTTTTTATTCTCTAGTTCTTTAATTTCTATTATATGTTTTATTTTCTACTTTCTGCTTGATTTGGGTTTAGTTTTGTTTTTTTTTTTGTTTTGTTTTCTCCAGTGTCTTAAGGTAGAAAGTTAGGTTGTTGATTTGTTCCCTTTCTAAAAAAATGTAGGCATTGAGGGAGGGTCCCTGATGGCTGAGTGCAGAGAGCTCCGGTCTGCAGCTCTCAGTGAGACCAACGCAGAAGATGGGTGATTTCCGTATCTCCACCTGAGATACCCAGTTTATCTCATTGGGACTGGTTAGGCAGTGGGTGCAACCCACGGAGAGTGAGCAGAAGCAGGGTAGAGCATTGCTTCACCCAGGAAGTGCAAGGAGCCGGGGGACTTCCCTCCCCAGCCAAGGGAACTGTGCTACTGTGCACACTGTGCTACTGTGCTACCCAGCCTGGGTACTATGCTTTTTCCACAGTTTTTGCAATCTGCAGATCAGGAGATTCCCTTATGAGCTTACACCACCAGGGTTCTGGGTTTCAGGCACAAAACTGGGCAGCTGCTTGGGCAGGCACCAAGCTAGCTGCAGGAGTTTTTTTTTGTACCTCAGTGGCACCTGGAATCCCAGTGAGACAGGACCATTCACACCCTTGGAAAGGGGGCTGAAGCCGGGGAGCCAAGTGGTCTCACTCAGCAAGTCCCAGTCCCATGGAGCCCAGCAAGCTAAGAGCCATTCTCACTGCCAGCACAGCAGTGTGGAGTCGACCTGGGATGATCAAGCTTGGAGGGGGAAGGGACATCTGACATTACTGAGGCTTTAGTAGGCAGTTTTCCCCTGACAGTGCTAAGGAGACCAGGAAGTTTGGACTGGGCGGAACACCACAGTGCAGCAAAGTGGCTGAGG